AGACTACCGTTGGAAAATCCTTCCGAATCGGTCGGGACACGGGAATCGAATCGACGGTAGAAAAAGAAAAGGAAAAGAAAATCCTAATAATTAGGACAGAAAATAGGGCAGCCAACATCGGTCGACAAGTGCCCCTCCTTCCTCACCCTCTACTTTCTTTCTCTTGGCGAAATTTCAGGGCGGGAGGTCCTTCACTCACTTAGATCATAATACCTGATATGACCAATAAACATCATGGCTAGCCCCAACCGAGGAGACCCCCTTTTGAAGGGACGTCGAACATGGGCTGAGATTAGAACGGCCGATGGGAAAGTTAATTTCCTTCTAGAAAGGTTCGAATAATGGGGAATCGGATGTGATCCTTGGCTTTGGCGAGGGAACTTTGACCCACGCAAGGTCCGGATATGGAGTACAGAAGTTCCGTATCACATTTTTGAACGGTATGTATAATGTACATGACCACATGTACGGATGTCCTGAACGCACCTATAATGACAATGCCTGCAGGGACAATACGGCCTCGGTCCTGGGGAAAAGGGGAAAACAAAAATTAAAAACAAACAAAATAAAATAAATTAAATTAAAAATAAAACTGTTGCCCAAACACGCTGCATGTCACATCTGTCTGCATGTTATCACATCACCTCCAGCGCGAACAGAATAACCGACAGGGATTGGGAAGTCGGAATGATTACGAAGGGAGGACGGGAATGCACCGCTGTGGGGACATTTGGTGCGGGTAACGCACTACACACTTACCGCCTAGTCCCATCTCGCCTTAGTCAGGCTGCAACTAGTCAGCTTAGTGCTGCTAGTGTACGGACCTGACGGAGGAGGCTGCGACAGTGGTTCCCACGCTCTCAGGATTTTTGGGACTCATCATCTTACGGCAACTTCTCCTTTTTCTGCAGAGAGGGGGTCCACAGCCACCGCGCTAACGGGATCCTGCCTGCGAGTTACAACTGTTCGTTTGCCTGCCAAGCGAATCCGGTATTCCAGAGACCTTCTAGAAAGTTTTGGAACGACGATGGAAGCCTTCTAAAGCGTCCATCGCATGTGCCGTTGCGGCTGCGTCACGCCGTAACCCACTCTGACACTTGGTCTGAGACGTGATGGGTGGTCAGGTCCCCTGGTGCCTGGGGCGTGTCACGGTCATTTGCCCACCACCCTCTCTCTCGCCATGGTGGCCTTTTTTAACCAGATGCGAAACCGAACAAGAAACATTGGTCCCATCCTCGCTTCAAGTAAAAGAGGTGTCCTCTTTTATTTTTCTTTCCTTTTCTCTTTTCTGTTTTGCATTTTCATCCCTCTCGGTAGCGAGTTCATATGGCTCCTATATTGATTGCGTTGAGACCATCGACGTCAACGATTGACATTAAGTCATCGTCATATCATAAGTTTCACTGCAGAAGTCCGTGTTGGTTGTGAATCAATGATTCAGCGGGACCCACGTCCCCTTTTTACCCTGGGTCTTCTTTCAAAATTATTGGTCCAATATGTAGGGCGACGCCAGCGGCCAGAGTCAGGGGCGCTCGGGGTCCCGAGGTGTGGCTGGAGGCTACAGGGACGGATGGACGCATGACGCTCGTCCATAGTTTCTGGGTACGGAGTTTATTGAAATCGCAAAGAATGACTTGGGTTATGATTGGACAAATGGTATTCTGCTCATTAGCAACGGGCTGTTTGGCCGGTTTCAAATCTGCCTCTAGTGGTTTTTCCTGGGCAAGAATAAGGAGGGATTTTTGCTTTTTCCTTTTTAAAGCCACGGACGGGGCTGGGATAACCGTCGACGGGCCTGCAATGTATAGATTACACAGGGCGATCATCTCCCATAGTTCACTGTGCCCTCCAACGTCGTCATGGTCAGTGGTACGGTCACCGAGTCCGGGATCTGCTCCATTTGTTTGGGTCATACTGGAAACGTAAGCACATCACGTGATGACTATATAGGTCACAAGCACCTTGGGGAACATCTTTCTAGAACCGACCGGGAAGATGCATGTCAGCCCTGGGGAAGACGCTGGTAGGTAGGTTCATGCATTGGATTTGATCAGACAATGGCCAAGGAGCCGGGACTCTGGTTACCGCGGCCTCATCCATGTTTCAGCGCCAGCGAAGGTTCAGCCACATTATATATATCCGTGCGTGGTACAGCAGGACTGGGGTTTGGTTAGCTGGCACCAAAGACATGAATGAAATCCTTATGAGATGATTCTTGTTCCACTCAAACCTTCTCAAACAAATGCTGTACCTAGACATGCAAGAGAAGTCCACCACATGCCGAACAGGGAGAATAGACTTTAAGGCGACAACGCCATCCCCTAACGAAACACCCCTAAAAGCACCCTGACAGGAGAAAAATAAAAATAAAAAAAAAACCACTCACCCACAGTACGACTAAGCAGTCAGTAGTCCAAAGCCCACAGAATACTAGCTCAATTTGTAGTACAACGGCCCTACGGAGTACTAGTATCTACATACGTAAGTCGTTAATGCAAGGAACGCTCCCAACAACTAGTCCACGATCCACCCTCTCCCGCTTACCTCACCGACCAGCAAAACATGCTCCCGAACGAGATGGATGATCTTCCCGGAGATGTGGGTTATGTTTCCGTAGGACAGACAAGCCAGACCAGAGCTGCCCAGACCGACAAATTGACTCGAGCCATGGGGCGCAGATGACCGGACACGGAATGTTTCTGGAAGGGCCGTAGAACTATCGAGTGGGCACTGAGGGCCCACCGGGTGGATTAGAGGGATGCGATGGATGCACCATCCGGCCAGTCCGTCAGTTAGTTAGCTCGATACGGTACGACCACCTCCTCCCTAGCTTGGAATGAACGGCGGCAGGTTTCCGTTGGAGATGGCCCCCCTTTTAGTAGGGGTTTTGAGGCTTGATTGAGTCGGTGAGTGGTAACCGTATTAGGTTCCTGTTTTTTTGGGGCAACTCGTCACGAGGAACCAGATGGAGAGCAAGACTAACTGATACTGATGGGTAATGAGTACATCCTATCAATGATTTCGTCCCTGGAGCTTGTAGTCAGTCGTGTGGTAGAGCCCAAGTATGGGATCGGGATGTGTGTTATGTGCAGCTAAATGTATGTAGTAGCTGTACTCCGGAGGGCTCGAGCAAGTAAACAATGAGAAAGGGATGACATAAGTTCTTGGCATGTTTGTTCGCAATGCCAACATCACACTCGCGATAGCAGCTCAGGGCTTCAATGTCCAATTCTCGGCTTGTCTTATCACCCAGAGATCGAAGAGCGCAGCAATGTCAACCAATTGATGATGCGCCTCTCTATAAAACCCGCGTATGCACTATACCATGCCCTTTCCCAGTCTAATACAATATCTAACTGTGTAGCAGCTCGTATATCCTCAAAAAGCCAATGCACCGTTGATCACCACCGACATCGCAACGAAATTCTCATTTGAAATCAAAAAGGGAAAAGCAAAAGCAAATCTCAACCAACTCAATCCAAAATGGCCAATATCCGACCTACCCTCCGCAAGGCTACCTCTCTCCTCCGCTATCTCAACTCCCCTCACCGAGCGCACTCCACATCCGTCTCCGCCGATGAACTATCTCACTTCTCCTCCCTCGCCAGCAGCTGGTGGGATCCCATGGGCCCCAGCCGGGTCCTGCATCTCATGAACCCCCTCCGCCACGACTTCATCGCATCCTGTCTGTTCGACAGCCTCCCACCGCCACGCGCCAGCGCACCCGAAACCTCCACCCCAGTCAACAACCTCCGCTATCTCGACGTCGGCTGCGGCGGTGGCATCTTCGCCGAATCCCTGGCCCGCACGATTCCCACGACCGCAAACAGCCCCTCCCAAACAGTCACGCAGGCAGCCTCCATAACCGCCATCGACCCAACCTCAGCGCTCATCAAGATCGCCCGCGATCACGCGCGCACCGATCCCAAAGTCGAAGCGCACCTCCGCGACGGCAAATTCACCTACAAGAACTGCACGCTGGAGGACGTCGTCGCATCACTGCGCGAGACGCCCGAGGATGAGAAGTTTGACATAGTCACCCTCTTTGAGGTCATCGAGCATGTCGACTCCAATGCCGCTTCCTCGCCGCTTGCCTTTTTGACGAATTGTCTTCGGGTGCTTCGTCCTGGTGGATGGCTGGTTGGGTCGACTATTGCGCGCACTTTACCCTCGTTTCTCGTCAACCAGGTCATTGCTGAGGCGCCATGGCCGATTGGTGTTGTGCCGAAGGGGACGCACGAGTGGAGCAAGTTTGTTAATCCTGATGAGCTGCATGCCTGGGCCCAGGAGGGTCTGATGCGGAGTCAGGATGGAGTGGCGCTGCGTGCTGGAGGTGATGCGTTGCAAGGTATGAGGTGGAAGTGCTCTGGAGTGATGTACTTCCCCGGTATTGGCTGGAAGTTGGTTCCTGGATCAGAGAATTGGGGGAACTATTTCTGGGCTATCAGGAAGGGCCTTTGAGTGACTTGATCTGTGCCCTGTTTACCTAGGATGAATGTTCTAGTTCGGTGTATCTAGGGCTTGTAAAACAGTATTATTGTGTGTATATATAAAAAATGTAGATTACAGATAGACCAAGCAAATGAACGAGCTACATGAGTTAGACTGTGGTATGAACATTCGTTACTGCTCGTAAATTAGGCGAAAATACGCCATAATAGGCCCGTGCCGCATCTACCTTAGTAGGAATCGGAGACTGGGATGAAACGACCAATCTTCCGGTGCACGTGCATTTCTCGAGTGCACGAGTGTTTTGTACATGGTGTGTATCCCATGGAACTGCTTGTGTCCAGTTTAGTTTCTGCATAGTCCAAGCTGGCGGGAATTTGAGCAGCAATAAGATCAATGAATTGAACAGAGTGCTCCACAACACGCCAGGAATTTCCTTAAAGGGGTCCACATACGAAGTAGGTGGGCTGAGCCCAATATTCATGCTGTTCGGGTGTGGGCAGGGCGTGAGAACGGGTTGGTTAGAGCCGATACATTTACGCCTCGGGCGATTATCTCCGTCCCTTGCCCTTGCCTTTCTTCTTGTTAGTTTGGGGCTCAGGAACACTAACAGTACCCTGGACGATATCCTCGCTTTCATTCTTCAGTCGTTCAGAGCCGCTGATAAAGAACGTGAGGTCTCTGTTTTGCTCGGTCAAGTCTGCATTCGCCACTTTGAGACTTTCCACTTCGGAGGTTAGGTGTTCAATGCGCTGCATCAAACTTTCATTCATAGTTTTCTCTTCCCGCCACTCCTTTTCCATCTTGCGCGCCATCGCCTCGAACTTCTCAGCACGTTTCTCGGCACGGGACTTGTCTCGCTCGAGGTTGGGTAACGTCTCATTTTCCAGTTTATCGTATTGCTTGTGTAATGAGCGAAAGTTTGCGGTGGCTTTCTCAGCTGCTTCCTGCGCCGAGGCCGCGGCTGCGCTGGCCTGTGATGCCTTGTCAACAGCTCGCTCGACGATTTCCTCAAAATAAGCTCGTTGACTCTCAAGCTGGCTTGTGAGAAGATGGGTGTACTCCACGCTCATATTTTCTAGCTTTTCCCGGGGTACCGCATCTGTCCAGTCCGGCGGGTCGAGGGCACTGTTATCCGCAGCCGGGAGCTCTACAAGTTTGCCGTCGGTCTTGCTTTGTATGATGCGGTGAACATATGCGTCACCCACATAGTCCCAGACACGTTGCGTAGCAAGGTCCATAGCAAACGCGTGGGAGGTTTCTTTGTAGTGATCAAAAGCATGCGCACCATCGTAGCGACCGCAACCGACAACCCCGCAGATCAAGCAAATCCAAAGGTTGATATCGGAATGGCACACGCTGCATTCAGCCGGTTCATCTTCGTAGAGTGCGCCCTGGCTGCTCCTGCGGAACTCGTCTTGTGTGTAGCGACAGACGGGACACCCACTACCCTTCCACTTCTGCAGACATGTACAGTGAAAAACATGTTGACAGATGATCGTAAGCAGGCCAGTGGTCTCATCCATGCGCTCTAGACAGACAGGGCATGTTGGCAACTCGACGAGGGCCGGTGTGGGAGGTGCTAGAGGTCTCATAGATAGTGTTGCCGATGGTATGGAGCTGGATTGTCCTGTAGAGGATATGGTTGCACGTTGGGGACTGGTCGCAGAATGAGATAAGAGGGAGTTCTGATGAGTGGCCGTACCCCCGTGCTGTGCTTGTGAATCTACGACTTGAACCTCTACTGTTTTCACGAAAACGACATGGCATGTTTCAGGCTTTTTGAGAGAACCATAAGAAATCAGTATCAAGATATGCAACTTTTTATCTGGGAAATATGACAAGAAGGTTACCGGGGGAGTAAGACTTACCTCCATGCTATTGAAGACTTTCCCATTCCATTCTTTCTGCCACTCCTTGGCCTTCTTCCCACTGCGAAATTTTAACAGAACCATATACCGATTGGCTCTGGAGGTCCTGATCATCCGAAAATGGCTCACGTCATCCATGCTTGCCTCGCCAACAAATCCCAGAAAATCTGAGGGGGACATATATGACGGAACGGCGAGTATACACAAAGTCGTGCAGTCATCGTCGGGATACGAGAGGGAAGTTTGTTCCTCTACATGTACGTCCTGGCGTGCGTTAGAGCCCCCGCCCAGTTCATCGTATGGTTGTCTTGCAGCAGCGGACCCTTTTAGGTACGAAGGGTAATCCTCTTCAACTAGATACGGCGTCTCCTGTGCATCTCGGTACAAATGCACAATTCCCCAGACACTATCAGAGATTTGCTGATCGAGCGGTATATATTTGCCTCTCGTACGTAGACCTCCGAGAATATCTGTGCCGATCCCCGTTGCAACGAGGTTATCCCTAGGATCACTTCGTCTACCAGCCCGCTTCGGGGTTATTGCTTCCTGGTCCGAAGGTATCATATCAATACACTCGACTGAAAGTTTATCCAATCTTGGGTCCTTATCAAAATCGAGGGCGCTGGTCGGCGATTTCGTATTCAGGTGAGGGGTAGTGGGATGTACAGTCGGAGCCACGGAATTCGAGCTGCAAGGGTCACTGGAAAAAAGCGTCGAAGAGCTTGAGAATTGTCCGTTCGAATGAAAGCGGGCTGAGCGTCGCGATCGCTTTTGAAATGGCTGTAAAGCTTCACATATGGAGTCAAAGGATAGGGAAGTTGGAGATTGATCGTCTGCACTATGGAAGGCGCCTCTGGGGCCAGATGAAGGGCGCGCAAATAAGTCAATCGCAAGGTGGTAGAAATATGAGGGCATCCCGACCGATGCTCATATCGCTGGGGTTTTGCGACAAAGAGATTCAAACTCTTGACTTGTTTGTCTATACCATTCACTGCATAGGTAGCTTGAGTTCCATCCCGCTTTCGGCGAGCCGACTGTCACGTGTGATAGGGAGCCGTGGCAAATTGGATGCGATAACAGCTGTGCGATCAACGACACAACGAGAGACCACTGAACTTCAACTTCTTTCGCAATCTGAGATACCTACAATAAGTTTATGCGCATATAAACACAAACAAAGACAGGGAGACTACGATATACAGACACTAGAAGACACCGTTCTATACCAAAATGCGTAGCAGAATATACCGATCAGAATCGGTCGTTAATCATTGTAATGAAGGATCGTAGATACTAAGGACTGAACTATGTAATGCACCACAACCCTTGTGCAGTGATACAGAAAGCAGTATGCTGTTGAAACATATCATAAAAGCCTGAAACCAACCGAACGCCATGCAAGGCGACTCAACCCAGTTGAGTCGCGATAGCAGAAAATCAAACAAGACATTAATTTCCACCACGGAGACGCAGGACCAGATGTAAGGTGCTCTCCTTCTGGATGTTGTAGTCGGAGAGCGTGCGTCCATCCTCTAGCTGCTTACCAGCAAAGATAAGACGTTGCTGGTCCGGGGGGATACCTTCCTTGTCTTGAATCTTGGACTTGACGTTATCGATAGTGTCCGAGCTCTCAACTTCCAAAGTGATGGTCTTGCCAGTGAGTGTCTTGACAAAGATCTGCATACCACCACGAAGACGCAGGACCAAGTGCAATGTGGACTCCTTTTGGATGTTGTAGTCAGACAGGGTGCGACCATCTTCAAGCTGCTTGCCGGCAAAAATGAGACGCTGCTGGTCAGGGGGGATTCCCTCCTTATCTTGAATCTTTGACTTCACATTGTCGATTGTGTCGGATGATTCAACCTCCAGTGTGATTGTCTTTCCAGTGAGAGTCTTGACGAAAATCTGCATACCACCACGCAAGCGCAGAACCAAGTGAAGAGTGGATTCCTTCTGAATATTGTAGTCGGACAGAGTGCGGCCGTCCTCCAGTTGCTTACCAGCGAAGATCAAACGTTGCTGGTCGGGAGGAATGCCTTCCTTGTCCTGGATCTTGCTCTTGACGTTGTCGATGGTATCGCTCGACTCGACCTCAAGGGTGATAGTCTTTCCTGTGAGAGTCTTCACGACTATAGATGAATCAGTAAGCTGACAACTTGATATTGTTGCAAGTGGCAAACAGGACAGTAGAGAACTTACAGATCTGCATTCCACCACGCAGACGAAGAACAAGGTGAAGGGTGGACTCCTTCTGGATATTATAGTCGGATAGGGTACGGCCATCCTCAAGCTGCTTTCCAGCGAAGATCAAGCGCTGCTGGTCAGGAGGAATGCCCTCCTTGTCCTGAATCTTGCTCTTGACATTGTCGATAGTGTCGCTCGACTCAACCTCCAAAGTGATGGTCTTGCCGGTAACTAGAGACGAAGAAGATGTTAGAAGATGCCAAGTGGCGCTAGACTGGGGATGGGAGTCAGGTATACTCACGAGTCTTGACGAAGATCTGCATGATGACGACGGTGAAAGTGTTTCAGTGGTATAGAAGGCAGTAAGGAGTATTCTAGGAAGCGTTGGGAGGAAGGTAGGTGGACAACAGCCGCAGTGACTGAGAGGATGATGAAGGATGAAGAAGTTAGAAGGCGAAAAGGAGAAAGAGCAGTTTAAGTAGGTGGTCAGGAGAGATGAGGGGAGAGGCAACGGAGGCGAAGCGCCTTAGTCAGTCAGGGTCGGTCAGTGATAGGTCGATAACGTGATGTAAGGACGGACCATGGCGGTCAATTCACTCTTAAATGGATAAGCGCCGGTTGAACCTTAAGATTCTGGCATCCCCTGGCACATTCTTCTCCTCTTCCGGCCAGTCAGAGGGCGATCCTTTGTTGAATTTGGGGAAACTGCTAGAAGTGTTCTGGCGGATGACTCAGTCGACTCGCTATCGACTCCTACTTGTTGGCTTTTACCTGCGCTTATGGTACGGCGAGAGTGTAAAGATTACTACTGGGTACAGAGTTTTCACTAGAATGGTGGCTGAGAACGACGAAACCGAAAGAATTGTGTCATCCATACCTTGGGGAAGAGTCATTATCAGTTTAAGGATGGAGTAGGGACAATTCCGTCCGTACCCGCCACTGACGCCACCAGTCGGCATCTTCAACGGAAACCTTCCATTTTTTTTGCCTCTGTTTACCGATAACAGGAACCAAATCTATGTCGAAAATTTATTGTGTTTGTGGTAACCGCTAGCCTATTTTCTTCGGGGGTGGTGTCCTAGACAGATGATTAACTGCTGCGTCCTGGCTCCTGCATCCTACGCGGTGTTGTTGCAAGTAGCGATGACGTGTGAACTCCGGGCTTATCGCGCAAAGAGGGGGCAGTGGACACTTTTAGTAGCCTAATAGCTGGGTCGCTGAGACGGCCCCGGCCAGCGCTAACGGCAGGAGGGTCAGGTGATCGACCTTGCGTATCCGGTACTTCTCCACTCCTGAATAGGCAGGTCCTAGAATGATTAACTAATCACTGAGCCTAACCAACTCACCTGCAACCACCTATATTACTGAGAGAACTGACTCGGACAAGCAGGATAGCAACCCTACTTGCTTGGTCTTATTTGTCATTCCTGAGCTAACCGATACAATGGCTATTTGTTTATATCTATATATAGTTAAGCGCCGTTCTATGCACTGTTTTCACGGATCATATTATCCGGAGGCATCTACGACTATGTGCTATTTAAATGGTGAGCTCCTGAATATAGCCTCAACGAGTGATTGAACCGCTCCCCTGCAGCTGAATAATCTGGAACAAGAGATTTGCGGCCTGAAAAACAGTCATCAATATCGAAAAGGTTAGTACTGGTTGCCTGAACTTCATGCTGGCCGTCGGGCACCCCATTTGGGACTAGTAGGCTTATGGGGGCAGTGGACATAGATTAAAAGATAAGTAGTTGTATATGCTCATTCAGATAGAAATTACTTCCACAGTGCAAATCACGCCGAATAAATAGCAATATAGCTCAAGGTGTTTAGGGCTCAGCGTAAGATACTAACATTATACTTGAGACTGGTAAGAACTCAACGTTCTGCCTCATTTCAATCATTGCTATGTTTAGTTTATACTAATATCAACCCGAGCAGAAGCCTCGTAACTGTGTTAAGCCATGGATGACATGAAATATGAGTTGTCTGATATGGACAAAATCGGCATCACGAAGACGGTGAAAGTCTTATTATTCTATGAGCTCCAACCCACCATTGATCCAGACAAATTGATCACTTCCCTGGCGGAAGGCGTAAAGAACGCGACCAGCCAACTACCCTTCATGGCCGGGAACCTGGAGTTCAACGAGCATGGCAAACTCTGCATTGTGGTATCACCGAGAAGCCAGGTCAAACTCAACATTCGCCGGTTCGAGTCCAAGGAACAAAAGTCACTTTCTGCCCTAGTCCAAGACTCATTCTCTCCAGATAATGTGGACTTCACTGAGTTTTTACCGGAGGAACCGACGGCCCCAAAGCAGGTCTGCGCACTTCAAATAAGCCTTGTGAAGGGTGGTCTGGTTCTAGGATTGTGGATGAATCACGCGGCTGGGGACTGGTCTTCGATTGATACATTCGTGTCTCTTATTTGTCAAAGCTGCAAGGCACATCGGGAAGGGCTGAGTATGCCTACCTACACCATAAATCTCAACAGAGCTCCATACAATGCGCCAGAGACCGGCTCAACCTTCTCCAGAGAGGAGCATCTGGAAAAGCTCCCAATGTTCTACGTCATGGAGAAGAGTCAATTCAAACTAAAGCCACCACCTGCCTTCCGATCAAGCATATACAGAATCTCTGAGCCATCCATCCAACAGCTCAAAGCGCGGTGCACCCCACATCTGACCGAGGTAGACTATATAACCTCATATGACTGCATATCTGCCCTTACCTGGACGTCAATTACACGTGCACGGCTCAACCTGCACCCAGAAAAATCCTCCTCGCCATCCCGCTTTGTCCACCCCATTGATGTCCGCACTCGCGATCCAGAGAAGAAAACTTCTGAACGCTACTTTGGCAACGCCGTCGTCGGGTCCCAAGCAGGTCCTATCACTGCCGAAGCCCTAGTATCAGATGGTGATCGTGGTATCGCAGCTGCAGCTACCCTAATCCGTCAATCTATAAACTCCATCAGCCTATCCACAATCAGCCACATGACCTCTCTCATGAAGTCACTCACTCCAGCGGAGACACTAGGCTCCCGAGCAGATTTCAATGACGTGGATGTGTTCATGAATACATGGTACTCGGGGAATGCAGAAAGGTACGATATTGGGGATGATTCGAGACCTGTTGCATTTCGAGTTCCTTCAAGCCTTCCCTCAGCTTGCGCGGTAATCTTGCCGAATCTTTCGAGCGGAGCAACGAGAGTCTTTGAGGTCTTTGTGCAGGTCGAGGTCGAGGAGCATGAGATACTAAGGAAGGACCCGGAGTTTTTAAAGTATTTCGAGGTTGTTGTGTGACGGGAAGTGCTTATTTGCCTGATAGAAGGGCCTGTTCCATCCTTATGGTGGCATAGCGTCTTCTATTCTCGATGTAAATCGGAATATTAAGCAACATTCTGATGAATGGACATTGCATTACGTAGTAGCTACTAGAATATGGTATTCCAACGAAGCCCTTTTAGTAGCACATATCAGGATCGCTCGTCTTACCCTAGTTATTGTGGATATTTTCTCTCCTACTTGTACTATGTAGGTGGGAAACACTGCACGAGGCTCGTGACCTCTGGAGCAGTCTCAGTACACTGATCTCATTCGGTCCCACCTGATGTCAACCTAGACTAAACTCGCCTGTATACCCACAAAGCTACCAGGGCCAGATGAAGTGGTGCCGTGGGCTTCAATCTACCAAGATAGCAAAGCCTGTTGGGGGCTATCTAGACGAATCATGATTGGCCACTTCGTCTTGACAACAATGAGGCTGTGCAAGCCACTACAAGTGCCACTACGACTGTGTAGATGCTAGATGGTAGCTACCGATTTCGGTGAAACTCACGGAACAGAATACACGCGGAGACAAAACCTAGCCATGACAACAGCCGTGGGTGCTTTCCCGTACCTGAATCATGATGATTCACTCACCAAGAGCAGACTTCTTAATGGCATCACGCGTACAACTGCTTCATCTGCCCACGGAGATCCTGATAGGGATTTTAGCAGCGGTCCCATCGCGTGCCTCCCTTGCGAATCTCGCGCGGACATGCCGACGTCTTCAGACGCTGGTGGAGCCTTATCTCTACCGGTCTGTCTATCTGGGCAACCATGACGGAGAAAGCTTCACGTATGCCATAGACCGTAAGGCGGTCCGCGCAGAGTACATACAAGAGCTTGTGATACATTATCACTATATTGACGACATTCCAAATGAGGACGAGTACTATCCAATCCTCGTGGAGAGCCTGGTACCGACAATCAGCCGCCTGGTCAGCCTGAGACGGCTTGTCGTCAAGGGCCTGGAATATGATACACAGAGATCTTATGATGAACCGGAATTTGGGCCGGGACCAAGACTCGACGCTCTGTCTATGATCTGGTCCTGGCTCTTCCAGCGATCAGCCCAGTCGATGTCAGGCATTCTGCCTTCCTTAACAACATGTCTGCTACTCCATGCTCCACTTACCCTACTCTGTACATACACGCACTAACAGTCCCAAGGCGAGCTGATTATGAACGACCTGACTCGCACACCTCTCCAGCATACAGCAAGTGATGTTTGGTGCTTTTCCTCGCGCGAGACTGTCCTGCTTCATCCCAAGCTCCAGAAGCTGAGTATAGTAGCAGCCCTGATCTACTACCTAGACCCAGAGACACTGAGTTATACCAAGAAGCCCTGGTTTAGCCCAACATCACTGGAAACCCTGACCCTGCTCTGCTGTGACGTATCGAGTCATGGTCTCCACGACATGCTCAAGTTCCCCAAAGCTCTCAAAAACTTCACCCTGAAGGGATCCCCATGGACGAGCCTACCGAACCACTTCCCCATAGACCGAGGCGCGATCGTGAACGCACTAAAAGCGCAAGCACATTCACTCCTCAACCTCGAACTAGACTTCTACCTGCACACGAACTGCCCGGCCCTCGACCTCCGCGACTTCACGAGTCTCGAACAGCTCACCATTGACCCGAAGGTCCTAAGAGGCGACGACGATGATGATGATGATGATGCTGGGCAGAGCCCCGAGGCCCTCCGCCAATATTGTCATCTTCCCCCGAGTCTCCGATCCCTGCGTTTCCGGGAGTATAGAGAACGGGGTAGACCGGATCTGCAGACGCTATCCATCGTTCTCGACTGGGTGATGTCGGGGGGCTTACCGAACTTAAAGAACATCATGATCCAGTCGGCCACGTTTACTTCGGCGGCGATATTAGACGCAATCACTTCAGATGGGAAGTCATTCCGACAAGCGTTCCGGGCTGTGGGGGTGGAGTTGGCAGTGGAGCGTGTGCGGTCCTGCCTCGACAATGAGCATCTTACCATTGATTGCAATTGTTGCTCGTTCTGTTGGCGGTTCTTAGATCAATGGGATAACTGAATACCCAAATTACACGATCCCTCGTCTTGGTCGAATACACCATACATACCCACTGTGGGGCGATTAGCTCGGAGTTGAGTTCAAATTTAGGAACTCTCAACGAGAGCGACTACGTAAAAAAGACCCTCGATTCATACGCTGTCCATATGTAAACGTGGCTATGGTGTACGGTGAGGAAAGCCTCGTTGCCTCGTTCTCAAAATAGTAGTACAGGAAGACCCAAATTTAGGACAATTTCCCAAAGCAGTCGAAACTTCGTACAGGACACATGGCGGTATGTTGCCATAGCCGAATTCGCCCGAGTCCGAGGGTAATAGATTGGCTGGTAAGAGGCCAACTCATTGTTGTACGGTGTCGGTGTTACTTGGGTCACATTATTGCTACTGGTTGCTGGGGAGTGGAAATGTTTAGACGGTGTAAGTTCTGTACGAGTCTCACTGGCGTGGATGTTCGAGTTGGTCCGTATATGAAATGATATTTATTACCCTGTGACTTGGCTCTAGCTTCAAGGCAACCAAGGGCAATGGAGTGTGTGAGCACACGATTTTTTCTTGAGTAAAAACAGGGAAAATGGGGAACAGAAAAACCAATAAGAGTCAAAACTTCATGCCACACAACCCGTTCCCACACTCCGATATTGAGATACAATCCCCAGAATAGATAACAAGATCAGAATGATAAAAACAAGAATCAAGATAATTCAAGAGAAGCACAAATGCGCACACACACAGACATACGCTAATCAGGCACATAAATGCAAAAAAGCAGCATCATGAAGCGGGAACTAGCCTCCACTATACGTCGGCAACTCAGTTGCGCTCATCGTTTGCTGCTGGAAAACATTTCGTGACCATACAATATCATGACATTCGTGATCCTCATCATCGCTGTTTATAATACTGTGCGAGAAAGGTATACCACTAGAAGCAAAAAAGAGTGTAAGTTGAAACCACGCAAGAGACAACACGTAAGCTTTAGGCTAGACTGGCAAAAACAAGAAATAAAAAGAATAATGTAGAGAAGACCGAGACGGGAAACAAGAATGAATAGAACGATCGTAGTCGCTAATGGCTTAATGCGAGTCATAATCGTGAATGCCGGCATATCTCATAGTTTCATACCGCGCCGATGCCGTCATTGAAAAGCCGTGAGAAAAACAAGCACAATGTACCATCATTCTCATAGCTGATCGTTTAATTGGCGCGGACAACAAGTCTTGAAACGAATTTATTCGATAAACAGTCAAAGTCGTTGCGGTCAAATTTGGAACTGGAGCGGCTACGGAGATAGCTCTCTGGACGGAGGTCAGCCAAGACAAATACGCTGCGTGGCATTCGACTTTCTTACCATATTGCGTGACGTGTTGGCGAACCTCAGTCATTGCGCTGCAGACATCCGGGTTCGAGTGCAGCAGGTGGTGGTGCTTTTGTGTTTCCCACTCGGTGAATGCGGGAAGTTTCTGCGAAATCGCCTGGAACAAGCCAACAATGACTCCGACGGGGGTAGTCTCCATGTCGTTGCAGAATTTCTCGACAGCGGCGGCATCCTAGCAACCGTCAGTATCTCTGGAAAATCCCATACTATCCGAGAGACAACTTACCCGAGTGCGGTAATGGCAGTCGAACTGCATCTCTTCCCACACGGCCAAAAGGATGGACGCTAGGATGAAGATTGTCGGCCAGTTCTTGAGCTTCTCTCCGCTGTAGACGCTGGAATAGAGGCTAGAGAGCTCCTCCAGAACGTCCTTTTGCAACTCACGCCACATGTTTGCCATAGCACACTTGATTTGGAAGTTGATCATTACTGGTGCTAATGTCTTGCCCTTGAATTTTGAAGTCTCTGCTTCAATCTTTCCAAGCAGTCCTTCTTCCTCACCCAAACCCTCGACCAACGTGACATGGAGCGTCAGGTTATAGGCAATAATAAGCTTCAAGGCCTTGCGGATCACCGGCATCTTTGTACGGTAATAGAACCGGAATGCGGTCTTCAGCATTTGTGTCAGGAACGGAGTGCCTTCAAAGTAATCATCAACAAATTTCTCAAAAGTGCCGTTTCCATCGATATGACGATCGAGATAATCGGATAGCATAGCGTGTGAAATTCCTTCCATTCCAGCAGAAAGCTTAGCGGTTTCCACCTCGTACTTCGTGGGCCCTCGGTTGTACGTCTCTACCCAGTCGACACTAAAGCACTGCTCGTTGTGCACATAAACCTCGCGAGCATTGATGGGAAGGATTTGGCCATAGCCATGGGTGATGAAGAGAGTCCTCTCATGCTCTGAGAAGCCTTTGATATTGCCTACCGAGAACCCAAGGGAGATATGACGCTCGTAGTCAGCCTTCCAGTCCTTCATGAAGTAGCCAATTTCCTTAATGTCTATGCGGGTACATGGCACCTGCCATAACCGAGCATGCGATGGTTGACAGCCAGCACAGGGTTCGCCTTTGTCGCACTGTTTTACCGGTCAGTCAACTGTCTCAGGGCTCGCCTCGTCAGTGATTGGAAGAACTACTTACAGTTTTCTTCAAGAACTTGCAACGGAGACACGCTCTCAACTTGCGGATCTCGCTGGCCTGTTTCCGCTGATCTGGCTTGAGCGGACCCTTCCGCTTTCCAACACGCTTCTCGGTTTCCGGCTTCCCATTTTGCGACTGCTTCCGTACCTTTGTTTCGGCAGTCTTGGCAGCAATAGGGCTCTTGCGGGATGGCTTCCTTGTAGGGGGAGAGGTAGACGAGGCTTGCGACCCGGTAGACCGTGTAGGCGATGAGGGCTTCTTCATGGGGACCGGAATGGGTCGCACGATGGCCACAGGACTGACCGCAGTCGGTGACTGCGAGCCGTGCGAGGTATGGTCGAATGACACGCGTCGGGCCATTGTGTTATTGAAGGCGGCATCAAAATTGGTGTCCGAGCTGGGTGAGTTGACTGGATTCGAAATCTCTACAAAGCTGCCATATGACGTTGAATAAGATGACTCTGAGAGACTCCTGTCATGCAATGTCTGCGTGGGATTGATGAAGAAGCCTTGGTCGGGGAAGTACTCATGCGAGCGGCGCTCAATAGTGCTCCAGCCATTGTCGCTGCTCGAGCTGGTCAACGAACGGACCTCCAAGTACGTGTCCGCGGGCGAGCTGCTGTCTATTACGTTCTGCGGCGCGGCGTACGAGGCAATCTCAGGTAGGCCATGCGCCAGGCCATCGGACGGAAAGGCCATCAAGTCAGATTGCAGATCTTGATAAGGAAAAGGAACCATTTCAACCGGTGCGGACAGAGGCAGATATGGGCCGTCTAAGAGACTTCCGCTTAATTGTCCTTGGGGTGTAGCAGAGATTAAATCAATGGGGGACGACTGGAGGGGCATCCCAAAGCTTGCGGTCGTGAACTGAGGAGCGGAGGAGGCTTCCTCATGAGAGTACTGAAGGTGGGGTTGCATGTGCTGAAATTGCCAGTCGACCATCAGATTGGGATCCTGAGCTACCGACTGTTCAAATGCGTGACCGCTGGTTTGCAAGGGAGAAATGTCTCGCGCTCCTTCTGCTCGGTGGGAAGCCTGGTGGTCCACCGCCACGGGCCATGACTGAGGCTGGAGGTAGTTTCTCGAGTCATAGTCGAGGCCGATAAAGCCGTCGCTGGAAATATCGACATTTGACATTGTGTGTCAATTGCCTATGTACCAAGGGAGAGGGAAAACAAGAAATAGGAAAGGGAAAAATTCATCAAAAAATAAAATAAAATAAACGACAGACGGGTGGTACAAAAAACAAATAAGAGGTAGGATTGGAAGTGAAATCGGCAGCAGCGAAGCCTGAGGACAAAGGGCTTCGGGTGAGCAGAAAGCCCAGAATCCGGGGGTACGAAAGAAAAGAAGAGAAGAGGATGATAGGATGAGGCCATGGCGGGCATGAAGCGGTGGGGAGCAAAGCAGCGGTGAGGCGGGAGTTGCGTCGGCCGGAGATACGCTAGGGGATCCTGGGATGGAGTTATCGCTATCGGAGTGGGGAGGTTGGGTCATCCGCCGTCCCGTCATGCCTTCCCACTGGCTTGTCTGGGGGGGTCATGCTACCGTGACCATGATTAAATGCCACGCCGCTTGTAATTTTGAAGTCTTTCTGTTCCTTTCTCCGCTTTCTCTCTCTCTCTTGTTACTTCTCTCACACTCCCGAGTCTCACTCTCTTCTTAGAGGTACTGTACTGAGTACATTTCTGTTTTCTGTTTCGTCCGGTAACGACCCCGTCAGGGTGGCAATAGAATTACTCGACCCATTTAACCATAACTTTCACGAGTAGCTGCCTCTAGGGCAATATGTGCATCAAACTAGGCAAAACTTCAGAGTGTACTCGTATATCCCCACTACCCAGTACAGTAATGGTATGGTTGAGTAAATCCATCCCCCGGGAACCTTCGACACATTCCTCGATTGACGAGTCTCATGATACTTACTCACTTTCCTCTTTAGGATCTCCAATGGTTAGGGTTATAGATACACTAGTGGAAGACACACATGCATCCGATTTCCCTACCGTGCTTAGCGCAGCGCTTCCCAACGGAGGTTTATTTCTTTACTGTACAGAGTAAGCAGGTATATTACGTTTCAAAAGTATGTACATCAGGGGGTACATACCTCCAATGCAGCAGTAGCATGCGCTCATTCATCATATGTCTTTAAGTGAGCAGCCATTGACATCGACACAGATGTCTGTCATTCACTATTGCATTCTTTTTTCCTGACCCCTTGTCAACCCTTCTCGTGCTGACAACAAACGTGATAAGTGAAGAGAGGCTGGTCCCATTTACCCGAGTACCACGGTACAGCCACGGTTTCCTCCGTCAAAGACGCATGGGTGCACATTCGGGAAAGAAGATCAGTGGAAACCATCAAGATCGTTCAATTTCGACGGATTCTCCCCGCCCATTGGTAGTTGGGGCTCCGATTCAGCTGGCCGTGGCAATAGTGTTGGGGCTCGGAAAGACCCCGCTGACCATACCCGTACGCACGGTATGGTAATTGAGGACCTCCTGCTCTCTACCTAAGATGGGTTACCTCGTAGCAGAATGTCGCTCTCTGTATGGATGCGTGTCCAAACATTGCAGCCTTTTGCTCCGACGAATCAGTCAATATTGGCTGCCAATTATAGCCTCGTCCCCGTCAACGTTCAATCACTGACGCACACATGTTGACAACAGGGCGGCTGACGCTGCAGTAGCTCCAACCCAGTATTACCTGGTTTACCATACAGGGCTGTTCTAGGCGCGGGAAAGAAAATCATTTTGGACTAGCTCTTCACTTGGCACTTCCGCGATGAAGATGAGATAATTGATGCTGGTGATGACAAGCTGCCTGCTGACTGGTTGTCTTCGGTTGACCGTTTTAATTTTGTTTCTTGATTGTTTGTCTTGATTTCTTTCTCTTCCTCAACAAGTCCCGTCATGGAAAATGTTCACCTCTTACGCGCTTAGGAACAGTTACCTATATCTCGTCTGGATCCTTCGAGGTGTTTCACCTCCGATATTTGAGTTTATGTTTGTTCTCGACCGTCAAGCGGTAGACAACCGAGGGCCGATCCATGAAAGCATGAGTGCCAACAATGCTGATGGGGTATGAAGACGAAGATGATAGATCAAAATCGGCGCTCAAGCAAATCCCTGAAGCTGGGAGCGATGACAAAGTCAATCGTGGCCACATCGTCCACCAGACCCAAAAAAGAGACAGAAGTAGACAAAGTTGCGCTTAGCTCTTTTTTTTTTTTCAGGGATCTTGCAAGACAGACTAGGGCGTAAAAGGAAAACCGTTTTGCATCTGAATTTCAGCTTTCAGAGGCCCGTGGGCTCCACATCCTGGAAGCCCATCAACTAACTCCATTTGCCTACGACTAAGAAATCGTATCGGCTCGCTTGGGTTCTGACTCGCAGCTTGCCACGCCATCCGCCGCATGCAATAACACATCCAACGCGTAGCTCCATAAATGGTAACTCCAGTTCCAGAGGGCGGATATCTATTGACGAGATTGGCGCTTGAGTGGCTGTGTCTGATGCTGATTGATCAGCGCCATACCTGGTGGGAACGTAGCCGTACGTGGTGGTCTGTGTGCGCGAATCATTCTGGTCAACGGAGTCCTTCGTACCAGGAATAGGGATTCGGTAGTGCCGCCCCTTGACTAACCTTGAATCCTGATGAGATATGCTGTGTATGCAGACCATGTTCGCCCACAGTTATTAGCTGTCGAGATCCAAGGATCCCATCGATCAGGCAAGGTAACATCTCCCTCGTGATATCAGATTATCTTTCATTGCCTTTGTGCGTTGTGCTAACAATGTCTTGGAAGAGGTGGCAACGAAGAGGACTTTTAGCCGACAGCCCCTCATCAGACACCCAAGCTAGTTGATCAACAACTAGTTAGGATTAAGAATTGGACTACCTCTTTTAGTTCAACAAGGGCTTTTCGTAGCGGGAATACCAGATTCGGTACCATCCTGGCCAGGTTGTGAGATGCTATTGGGTTGAATCCTTCACCCGTGCCCACCGGCCGATCCATTCCGGTTCTGATTTTGCGGGAGCCTTAGGAAAAAGGAATGCTCGTCACGGGACCACAGGCTTCTTTGACAGAACGTGGAGGGTTATGACGGTAAAGTCCAGTACGGAGTACATCCGGGTCTGAAAAATATGGATCTTCGGTTTGGATTTGACATTCCTGATGCTACTCCTTAAAAATCGTACTTGCTAGAATAGCTAGAACTATGCAATGGTCGTATTAGCAGCATTCTATCATTTTATTTTTCTACAAAAGGCTATGAGAGTGGTGAATGAAGCGTATAATAGTAAAACTTGCACAGAGGGCAAAATGTGTCTACCATAGTGAGGGGTGACCCACCGCCCAGTGGGAAAAAAGAACAATGAATGCGCTTTCTCCATTGCCAATAACAGAACAATAGCAGTGAGATCGCTTATGTGATTATTATTGGTATCGACATTAGCTTCCTTTGTCCACAAGACTATATACGGATCTAAGCTTCCTCGGAAGATTTCATGCCTGTCACTTCAGCGACAGGAAAGCAGCGTCGAAAAGTTCGTTTCGCTTCGACCAGTCAAATATCGGCGGGAAAGTCAAGCATCACGTCCAACCAACCGGCAGAAAGCTGTCCGTCATCGACAACTCTTTCACAGGATCATACACTGCCTAAGCAGCAGCGCAGAATGAGCGAAACCCAAGTACATCCGGCGGTCCCAGCGCTGTTCAAGGAGCTGCCGATCATCCAAGACGCTCTCAAAACTGAGACAACAAAGCTTCAAGAAGAAACCGTAAACAAATGCTTACCATTCCTGAAAGGTATCCATAGCAGTCAACAGGGAACGTTCAATCAGTTTGGGGTACCGGCACTGAATCGTGATGATCATATTGCCTATCTGTATGACTCCCTAGAGGACTATCCGGGGAGCTTTGTGGCCCTTGATGCCAGTCGTCCCTGGATGGTTTACTGGGCCTTAGCTGGCTTAACCCTACTAGGTGAAGACATCAGTCAGTTCCGTGAACGGTAAGCAAGCGCCTGGTTGCCTTGATCTACACTCTTGTAGGATCATTAGGGAGTGTAATCTGCTTATGTTGGTCGATTGCTGTTTTCGGTAACTCAATGTCTAAATTCATTCCTTCCCAGGGTAATTACGTCGTTTAGACCTATGCAGAACCTCACTGGTGGGTTTGGAGGAGGACATGGCCAACTGTCACACTGCGCACCCTCTTATGCTGCCGTTCTATCGCTCGCCATGGTTGGTGGCGAAGAGGCTTTCCAATTGATCGATCGGGAGGCAATGTGAGTTGTATAGCTGCCACCGTTGAAGATCTGTGCACCGTTAACTTGGGACTAGGTGGAGATGGCTCGGAAGACTGAAGCAGCCCGACGGTGGCTTTAGAGTATCCGAGGGCGGGGAAGAAGATGTGAGGTAGTAACACTCCTATCTATCGTCCTACCGCTCGATCTGACTGAACGTCATACCAGAGGCGCTTACTGCGCGATGGTGCTTTTATCGCTCCTTGACCTACCACTTACCTTGCCACCTGATGCCGCAGCTCGGAAGCATGGGTTCGAAAAGTTCACGAGTGGCCTGTCAGATTATCTATCACGATGTAAGTGGTATCTTAGTTTGGTCCAATGGACGGGAGTGCTCATAGGCCATAGGCCAGACTTTCGAAGGTGGCATCTCCGGTAGTCCCGGGTCGGAGGCGCATGGCGCCTACGCTTTTTGCGCGTTGGCGTGCTTATGCATTCTAGGCAAGCCCGAAGCGACCATTTCCAGGTAAGGAGCTGCATAAGCTTGCTATTCCCCCACTTTTTGCTGAGAATACTAGATCCGTGGATGTTCCAATGCTCCTATCATGGCTTTCCGCTCGACAGTACGCTCCAGAAGGAGGGTTCGCTGGACGGACCAACAAGTTGGTAGATGGATGTTACAGCTTCTGGGTTGGGGGTTGTTGGCCACTGATTCAGTCCGCAATAAATGGCACCCAATCAGCCTCGGCCCCTAAACAGACCTCAACGGACAACCTCTATAGCCGCGAAGGCCTGACAAGATACATCCTTGCTTGCTGCCAGGGAAAGCACGGAGGGCTTCGTGACAAGCCCGGAAAGTATGGTCATCCCATATAGATCTCTGTTGCAGCGCAATTTACGGAGCTAACTGTCAAACGTAGACATCCAGATTCGTACCACACATGCTATACTCTCACTGGGTTGAGCACGACCCAATATCACCACTACCATACCGATGCTAGCGCAAGCTCCAAGGAGGACTTCTCCTCGGCATTTTCCTGGAAATCCCTTCCTGTCACCAGCTCGAACAATGACGGATCAGACTTGATCGTATTCGATGAGAAAGATCGGCTCACAGCGCTCCACCCTCTGTATGTCATTCCCCATCAGGCTGCCGAGAATATGCGTACGTGGTATGAAAATGCACCGCTTGAGGTCTAGTTGATTCTGGGCAAATGAAAAGTGGACAAAACAACGAGAATGGACTTCACCAAAGATAAGAAATGATCTATAAGGCAGACTGCTATTATTGTGTACAGTAAAAATGCAGGACTATGATTGCTCCCAATCCCATGTCAACGCTCACCGGAGAACGCGTCATACAGGAACCTCGAGGGTTGATGAGCTATGTTTGTAAACGAACAAGACGTAAGGGGTGAAATGTGTAAGTACTAGGAAGAAGGATGGAAATCACGGGATATTGGTGGTACCGGCAGTTGGACACTGCATGAAGTGGAATGATTTCCTGCAGAACTAGAATTCCCCGTGTATGACTGAGTCAGCGGTTGCCCTGTATCTTGATCGTTCAGGTGGCGGACTCGATGGTCCGGAAGCATTTGTTGTAAAGAAATTCCCTTTAACCACCTCTTTTCTTTTGTTTGGTGTTCCCCTCTTAGGCTGGTGCAGTCAACCATGGCCGTGACATTGACCTCCCTCCCCAAAAGCCCATTATGTCTTGTATTCCACCTTTTTTAACGTTACTTTTAGGGGAACAAAAAACACCCCACCTGCCAATACAAAGAGAATGAGTGAAGGTTAAGTTCCAAACTTTGTTCTACCCCGTTACTTTCTGCGAGGGAAAAAGAAGGCAGACTCACACAATGCATTGCACAGACTGCAGTCTGTCAGTCGAGGGTAGGGATAGGGGTCAACAGTGGTGCAAATAGCAATTGAATTGTGCGGAACCTCAATTGAAGGATCATTATTATTTACTTTACTTACTTCTACTACTACTCTGCAGGATGGTGGTTATACTTCTCTCCTCGTCTCGTGTAAAGTGACATGGATTCCCCGCCGCGCCAAACGACCAAACTGCCAACTCATCATTGCGTCCGATGCCTGTCTGCCAACCACGGAATGGCTCGTCCAATGGATATGATCAGAGATCCACCGGCGCAAATCCAGAACCAATTTTGTTTTCCCACACGGCTGATCATCGTCCAAACCGGGGATTTTATGACAATGTCCGTCAATTTGTGGGAACCGCCGCTCGCTCTTGATGAAAACAATGGATCTATCGTCGTCCTTTCAGCTGGAAAGGCCCTCCTGAAGGATCACAGGATAGATGTCGAATATTTCCGAGGAGGCGGTCAATTCACACAAGAGACGTTTTCGGATCACTTACCGAGTCGATGGTGATCGTGATCGTCCCTCAGCATTGGTCTGAGCAAAAAGTCGTGGCCGGGTCCATCGTGGCTAATACTACTGTTGACTAAAGTGGCACACTTTTTTTATTTTTATTTTAATTTTTTTTCCCTCCCTCTCGCCCACAGACTACGGAGTCGACATCCATTTAATTATTATTATCTTCCTTAATCACTGATTATATTTTTTTAAGATTACAACCAGGATTCGTCTGCGCGACATGAACCCCTCTCTTGTTGGGATTCATCATTGTATGCATTAGTGGCCTTCCACAACGCCGCCTCTTTTCCAATTAATATATTATTTTATCTCATGCTTGCTGATTCTGGAACGACGGGAATCCTTTCTAGATTTCGTCTTTAATGCGGGGTTCTAGAAATTCTCAACCGAACTAGTAAAGGAAGGAGAGTAACAAAAAAGAAAGGAGAAAAAAGAACTAACTAAAAGATTTACTGATTATCGCCCTTGCCCAGAGCTCCGGCGCTCGTTCTGCAGGAAGAATGGTAGACCGAAATGACGATTTGACCGGAATTTCTTATCCTGAGCAACATGTCAATCTTAGCCGCCTGGATCGGCGGCGAATTACACCGTGGCATATGGAGCAAAGTTGTCTTGGGTCTTCTAGTACTGGATCACTGGTGGAAAGCCATGCCAGCACATCAACGTTTCAATCCACACTTTCCAGTATTCGATCTCCAGAAAGAAACGACTCGAAATGAACAAAGCTAGGACAATTTAGATCCGCAATGGCTCATGGAATTCGCCTGTTACCTGCGCCAGAACTCCAATCTGGTGGAGAATGCCTCAATTGACCCGATTAGAAGACCGTTGGCCTTTTTTATTTTTTTTATTTCTTTTATTTTTCTTTTTTCTTTTTCCTTTTCCTTTCTTAGACCCTTTTTTTTTTTGTTTTGCCTCTCTGTTGACCCTAAGTTATGGGCTACTGCTTTATGGGCCCCGCCTGTTTATTTGAACTGATTATACCTGGCTAGAATGATAATATTTGCCTGCCTTTCTTTCCCTTCTTTCTTTTGTCCCTTCTTGCTTTCTACCATTGTGTGGAATGTTGCTATCTTCCATCATACGTTAGTTCTATTTGTTCGCATTTTGTCGTGCCTTTGTCTAGATTGACCAAATCTATACTAAGCCTCTCCACTGATCCGCTTTTCGTGACAAGATCTTGGCTATTCTGAAACAGCAAATCCCTTGAAGTGTCATATGAGGAACGTGGCCATTGGGCATCAACAAGCGCCGTTTGCATAGGCTTGTTTCCATACCTTGGGTGTGGTTGCCAGGATCTTGTGCAGTGTCAACAGACCCAGGGCAGCAAATACTGCTTTGATACGTCTCTGTACCATACGTTTTATTGGACGCCCGCCTGTCTTCACGATGTACTATGTTCTATACCTTGCGAGTATGTAGCCTCTCTGTTGCAATATGCCCAACTCTACGCGGTCGATCTCAGAAAACCCTTGCCCAAATTGGTTTGATCGCGGCAATCGCGGTTTATGAATCTTTTCCCCTAAATCTTCTTTTTTTTTTCCTTTTTTTTCTTCTTCGTCTCCTTGAGAAACCCTCGGGGGAAATGACTATCCCGTGCATCGATCAGAGATTTACTTTGTTGCACTTTACGTGATTTGTTAACATCTCGGCAAATTGCCCTGGTGGCTTCCAAACGTCACAGTCCTGATTAAAGTCAAGTTCGAAGTTGAATAACCATGTGTACAGGTCTTTGCCGACGCCGCCGCTGGCCGGAGCCCCAGTTTGAGGTGTATGAAGGCCCTACCGGGTATACCTGCATTGTTCGCGTCAATAATCGGGAATACCAGACGGACACTGTTTACCAAAACGAAACCCTGGCTCGAGAGAATGCTGCAATGCGAGCGTACCTCATCTGTCGGAATTTCTCCGTCAATGACGGCATGTACCCAGCTGGACATGACCACGGAGGGGTTGTCCAGGGAATGCCTGTGGCGATAGGCACTGGACGAAAGACCCGCTACGATGATACCGATACCTCGATCAGTGGAGGAAGCAGGAGCGGAGGGAGCAGCCCTGAAAGCTACGAGGGAGGACGATTCGGTCAGGACAGGCCCGCCGTGCCGTCGAGGGCCCTCGCATTCAGCAGCCGTGGAATGTAGTCGCCCCTGCTGTTTTCACAGAATTGTGGTCAAGCGGAACTCGGCGTACAAAGCCAAAAACTACGTGGAGGACTCTAACGACTTTTATGATTTATGACATGACTTGAATATCCAGATAGATCGAAGTGCTTGTTCTCAATTGAAGCGTGTGACCTTAGTCGAAAAATCAGTCCATCGACAGATATACCCTAGTGTGCTGCCAGGCTTACAAAATTCCGAGTATGGATATAAGATTGAATGTGCATTACTGCATTGAGCTGTCCAGCGTTCTTTGACTTGTGCAAGTGGCGGAATAGTTCTTTTCACCAGTTAGTTCTATATGAGAATGAATCCAGTCATCCATCTCCTTTGCCATATGTGTACATGTGCACCCAGGTTCAGGTACAACAACCAGTCTGTACGACAGGGACTAGAATCTAGACCTAGGATCTACTCTCCTTTCTCTTGATAACCTACATCATTTTTTACTTTGAAACCATGCTCGTCGGCACGCAAAATCGGTAATGTAAAAGCAGAGGTCTATTGTGCTACTGCGTATTCGTTGGTTTGCCTTAGTAGTTCTTTATACAATGTCTCTATCCAGACCGGGATTAACACTTGCGACTAACAAGTATGAAAGATGAAAACCCGGTTACCCTTACTCCAATTGATTATAGTAGGTATAACGCAAGAATATGAATACTCTCCTAATGTCTAGAAACCGCACGCTTATTCACCACAGCTCTACCCCCCCCACCAGGAGAAAGCAAGAACCCGACCTTGACTCAACACCAAACATTTCCCCAACTACTAGCATAGACATATGCCTGTATATACTATCCTATCCAACAAGAGCTATCAGCATAAGGCCCTTATGTCCACTCCAACTCTGCAAATATAGCACATACAACTATATAACCGACTATATAACACTATAAACACCAACAAACATTAAAATCCCCACTACAACCACAAACAATAGTAAAAAGCCCCCCAAAACAATTTTCATATTAACAATCCCTACCCAGTTGAACCCCCCTAGATGCCCACATCTCACCCATGCAGAAAACAAGTCCACAAGTCCCCCCCTCACCGCAACCCCAGACATACAGTACACACAAAAACCCACCCACGCCCCCAAACGTGGCCTCACCGAACCCCAAGCAACGCAAAACCCACCATCGTCACCATACCTACCGACAACATCAATATCCCTGAAACGTCTACATCCCAAAAAGAAGCGGAGTCGAAATCGAAGCACCTGGCATATATCTCACTAGCCCCAGAACGGTAAAGCGCCTCCCCCCTTGCGATGCTTAATCTGCTGACTCACCATGACGTATACAGTCCCGTTCTCGAAGAAGAAAAGCGAAACCCAAACAGGGTCGCCTATGATGCCATGATGGCATGGAGCTATAAATGGATGCGATATTGTGGGGATGCGTGAAGGAGGCGGTGCTATGCTATGATATAAACAATCCCTTTTTCTCTTACCTTTGGCATTGCTTTTGGGTTCCGGGGTTAGCTGCTTTACTATACTATTTTACCGAGTACACTGGTTGTTAATGTTTATGAAGTCATTCGTATCTGTATGTGTTTTTTTTTTTTTTTGGTCTCGAGCTTTAGATTCTTGAGAGCACGGCCGTCTGTCGGATATGAGGGCGGCTGTGCGTCGGGTGTCCGCCTTTGGGGCGATGGTTAGACGGCCCATTGGCGTGCCAGGGACGAGATTGTATGTCAACTCGCCGGTGGCGGGTCAGTCGCGCGTTGCTTGTGGTGTTTTGGCTGGGAGACAGGGTCAGGGCGCTTTGAGGTGTGGGCTCCCTGTGTCTATGCAGGTGCGGCGATTCGCGCATTTTGATGCCATCCAGGAGGACAAACAGGAGACGAGGGACGAGCTGGAGAGGCTTGAGATCAGAGAGAAGGACCGGCAGCGGAGTGCTGAGAGTGAAGATGGGGAGCAGGGGTCGAAGCTTGCGAATGCAATGTCGAAGGGTGGGTGCGCTTCCTCTCGATTCATTTCAGGGCGCTGATTAGTCCGGGTTGCAGGGAAATTGTTGACGACGCCGTCGAGACTCTTCAAGGTTCTTATTCCGTTACCTACCGCTAGTCATAATAGTAAACATGATGGTATGTTGTTCTTTTAGGCTTGAGGGAACATGAAAGTTAACTGTTGAAGACATTGAGCCGATAGCTATCCTGATACATCCCCAGCAGCCGTTATCTTACCTCGAACGTCTCATTCAGGATGAGATCCCCCCGGTTTCAATCGATGGTGCGAAGCCAAGGCCGCCTGCTGTCTCTTTTATTGCACTTCAAATGGACGACAACCCTGTCATACCTAAGAAATCGATGTATGAGACGACCGACACTGAGGTGCACCGACTGGGGGAGATTGGGGCCGGACATGAAGCTAGGCAGCGGAGACGTCGACCGGACGAGGAGGATGACACATACAGCTATCTTCGACGTGGTGAACCCGGCAAGAGCAACAGGGAAGAACGCTTTGTCCGCTGGTCCCAGTCCACCGAGGTCGGCGACTTTGTCCGCGACGCCTCTCGGGCTCGGGAGTTCATCGTCAGTATCGAGGGGGGTCCGGCTGGTCTGCGCCAGATCCATGTGACTGTGCCTTCGTTCGATCAGCGAACACACTTCCTAAGAATGCGGCTGCGGAAGATCTCCGGAAGGATTCAGAGCATCGCGGAGATCAAGCACGAGTGCGATGCCCTGGCCCACCGAGGAGCGCAGCGCGTGGCCGTGGGAGGGTTCGGGATTCTCGCCATGTGGTGGTACCTCGTATACAAACTTACGTTCGAGACGGATCTGGGCTGGGATACCATGGAACCGGTCACGTATCTGGCCAGTTTGTCAACTCTGATGGGGGGCTACTTATGGTTCCTCTACCACAACCGCGAAATCTCCTATAAGTCCGCGCTTGACTTTACGATTAACGCGCGACAGAAGAAGCTGTATGAGAGGGAGGGCGTAGACCTCCATGAGTGGGAGTCACTGATCGACGAAGGGAATTTATTGCGAAAAGAAATCAAAACTATTGCAGCAGAGTACGACGTTGTGTGGGATGAGAAGAAAGACGAGCGAGATGAACGCGTGACAGAAGCTTTAAGAAAGGAGCGAATGCAAAAGAACGGATCGAATCGAACGAAAGAAAGCGAAGACGATGATTAAGGATTGTGTTACATGCACACCAGGACGGTCAAATCCTCTCCGTACTCCCTGTCTACCCATTTCGCACCGGATCATAGTACTTCTTCGGCGGCGCATCTTCTTCCTGTTTCTTCGTTTTCGAGCCCTGACCTGCGAACCGTCAGCATACCTAGCACAATATCCAGACACCATTGTCACTCGCCATGATCGTCCCCCTTTCGCCGATTGCGATTGTTCCGAACATCCCTCGACCGAAACACACTATACAGCAACCACCCGGCCACCCAATTCGGACCGTACTCACCGGCCGTGGCGCCGCGAGCGAAGAAAGGACGGGTCAAGGGCCCAGCATTCTGCGCGATCTCGATGATCCCCCACCGTTGGCGCTCGGGACGGATATGATGCCAGAAGAAGGGCGGCCGGGTGGACGGGTCGTTGGCTACGCTGTCGAGGAGATGCGAGGTATCTTCGTTGAGACGATTATAGACGACGATGGCTTCATCCTGTTCCTGTCAATGGACCATTGTACCATACAGCATTCGATAGACGTAGATATAAACACGACATGACAATGACATGACAAGACAAGACAAATAGTAGACGAGAAAACATACCCTCATCGCCCTATAAATCTGCTCATGCTGCGGATCCTGCGAATCCAAGACCAAAGCCTGCATGAACTCCTCCTTCGAGGCACGAGGACCGACAGGCGCCATTGACTTCTATCCCAGCAGTCGACAAAGGACAGGAAGCCCCAAAACCACCTCGAAGCAAATAAACCCCGATTCACAGTTGTAATCAAAACCCCAACCAATACCTCAATCAAATTCAATTGAACCAGATGACAACCCTAGCCACAAAAAAAAAAAAAATGAAAAAAAAAAGACAAAGACAAGATAAAGACCAAAACCACTCACCCTCCCTCTTTCAAACCCCAGACAGACCCCACGCCCCCTTCTTAAACCCTCGGAAGAAGCACAAAGTACGTACGTAGGTAGCCCTCCCCCCATGCATCCCATACATTCCACCCTAGTCTGCGACCTACTTGCCTACATACATACATACATACATACATACATACATGTACACTAGCTGAGGTATGGGTGTACCTTTCCTTTACCCTGAAAAAGCAAAAAAAAAAATGAAAAATCACCCATGTCGAGATCCTGGTCTGCGTCGCACAATAACCCTACCCTCGACCTGCGGTTTCTACATAGTTTGCATGGTATGGTATGGATGTTGTATGAGGAGTGTAATTTGTATTTGTATTTGTGTGTGTATTTGTATTTGTATGTGTGTGTGAGAGAGAGAGAGTATGTGTGTGTGTGTACACTTACCCAGGGCTGACTTGGTACTTCAGGGTCGTCGGGACGGATCGGGTGTTGGGGCAGGGGTGTTCGGGTGGGTTTGGATCGGTGGATTTTGTATGGATGGACTTGATTAGGATTCGATGTAAGGACTTTTGCGTAAGTTATCTTCAGGTGTGGATATTTGTTCTTCTACTTGTTATTGCCGGGACTGTTGTTGTTGTTGTTGTTGTTGTTGTTGTTGTTGTTGTTGTGTTGTATTGGGAAACTTGTATAGGGAATTGAGGAACAAAGGACGGTATTGAAAGAGACAGGCTAGACTAGCTTACGCATGGATGTACGTACCCGGTGATTCTGTGCATACATAACCTACCCCTGCACGAAACAAGTCCAACTCGCTGGTATAGAAGATAGTGGACAGAATACTAGTACATCTCATGGCCTGATATGACATGCATGGGGGAGTGGTTAGCTACATACATAACCTCAGGTTGTGTCATGTACATACTTACGTCTGGTCCAGTCCAGTCCAGTCTAGTATCAAAAAGCCCGAGTAAAACATTCCCAGTATAGGATAGTACAAGTATGTACAAGCCTCGACCTCGAGCGAGGTTCACGTGTAGTATACAAACTGTCCAGGTCCCCAGAGGCTAGGTTGGGTTGGGTTGGGTTAGATTAGTGATCGAATTTACCCCTGGTGGAAGATCCTTGCCTGGGGTGAAACGCAAATGACATCAAACGGGGCGTACCTGGTCTCGTCTACTACTTTGGGGGTTAGAGTGTCAAACGGGGCTGTTTGATGGGAAGTAGTGCACTGTGATTTGCTTTTTTTTTTCCCCATTCCTTGACATTATGCTGCTCTCTATCCTTGATATGAAGTTGTATGTATATGTAAATGTATGTGTATATCTATCTCTATATCCGATGGATGCATATATAAATCCACCACCATATCTACACCCAAACCATACACCCAAACCAGCAAAAGAAAGAGGTTAAGAACCCAATAACCTCCCGCAGCCGTGTAACAACCCAATCAACAAAAGTGATCCCGCACAGACAACTCTCACCCATGAGAACAACGAGGGACAAAAAGTTACTTCTGTATACCCACTCAAGACCAAAAAATCCATACCTACCATCCAAGTCACACAGGCAAACAAACAAGACAGCATGGGGTCTACACTGTCCTCGTCCGGAGTCTCGGTGTGCCCATCGGAGACCTGGAGTCAAGTTCGTCAAGGCCGTCGCCATGTTTGATGTGACATTCTGGGGTTCGGTTTATACAAGATATTTGGAATATAATATGGGTGTGTCATACGGGGCTTGGATCATGGGGTGTTACACTGGCTTGGAGATCCTCAAAGGCGGATTGGTGTAGGGGAAAAGGTACGGGTAATGGACCGGATTGCTGGTTTGGTTCTAGTGTTCGATTTGGTGGCTATAATGGGACAGAGAGGCTGTGTGATCTTACGCGATTCTATAAGTATGAAGAAAGAAGACAACTGGGTTGGAGGATGAATCCGACACCTTATATAGAATATATTCAGTCCACGACGATTACTTCGGAAACTGTATGCGACTACATACTTAGGAAGGCACTCCGCGATAGTTAACCCGGATAGTACAACGGATCGAGATGTCTCGTAGGACATTAATACCTGTTTGGTCGATGGAAGTACAAGGTAAACGGAGTAGATTAAGACACGAAAGTCTATCGACTCCTCCTCAATAGGGTAAATGCGTTGTCCTGGCCAGTTGCGTTTGCGCGGTTGATTCGATGGCACCCGGCATGGGGTAGATGATGCTGCCAGAAGAGTTAGACTTCCTTCAGGATGGAATGACCGTCGGATCATAAATCACAGGTATGGTCTCACTGGTGATGGTCTTCCAAAAAAAAAAAAAAATAAATAAAAATAAAAAAAAAAAAATTGTAAAACACTGCCGACTCGTCGTACCCTCTTCCCATCCAAGGGGGATGGATGTCTAAACCCTCATAAAGCATGTCGGGCATGACATCTGCAGCCGGCCTTGTGCTGGGTATCGGTCACACACCTGATACACGCCCATTTACACAGAGAAGAGAGAGAAAAAAAAAATAATAATAGGAAATCTACCATCCACATGCGGTGCCAAGGGAGTTTTGTCTCCGTGGGACTCGAAGCTCTGTCCCTGTGTGCTCGATAGAAATGGCTGGACAAAAGGGTAACAGAAATCTCCCCTATTTTATGAACAAACCTCTAGACTAGATAGAGCTGGAAAGAATAATAATAACAGAAACTCGGAGAAGGCCGGGCAAAGAAAATAAGAAAACATATCATCTACCTCATGTATCGTCATAGTATCCTTGGTTCATACGGGGTTAAGGAGAGCAAGCATTGGACGAAAACAACCCGAGGGTATTATCAGACGCGCTTCTGGAAATTAAAAAAATTGCGTTGTTTTCTCTTTCGGTTATGGTGTCGAATGCAGTTTTGATGTGAAAAGGTGTGTCACCTCACGTGGTATATTTCAGTCAACCATCATCCTCACGCTTTCAACTTCTTTCCACCTTTGCTTTGGAGGACTACTTGTCGTCATTCTTGTTCTCGTTGTTGCTGCTGCTGTTGTCGCCGTAATATCTGCGGAGGAAGCTCTCTACTTCCTTGTAATCCACCTTGCAGTCCGACAGGGTTTTCTTAATCTTCTTCAGACACTCCTCCTCCGATTCGTTGTTGGTACCCGTCTCATCCTTCCCAAGACCGTAGTTCTGGATCTTCTCACATGCATCCTTCACCTTAGTCAACCCCAGAGTAGCTGACGAGCCTTTCAAGAAATGTCCCAATGAAGATAGCTCGCTGAGTTGTTTGTCCTCACTGCAAGTGCAGTTTGGGTCAGTCCTGGAATCCCTCGGCTGCTATTCCGGGCATACTTACAGGGCCTTTTCCATCTTTTCAAAGGTGGCCTCAGCTTGGTCAAAGAAACCGAAGACAATTCCCTTGCTGAAGTCCATCTCATCATCGTCATCGTCCATCTCCAGGATCTGTTCAAATGTGAGCTGGTCGATGCAGTCTTTCATGTCGGAAAGCTTCGGCGGACCCTCGGTCTTGGGCTACTCGAGGTCAGCACTATGATCCAACGGATCCCAACGCGGACGGTACGGCACGTACAGGTGTCTGCACAGTAGTCTTGGTGGTGGTGGGCGCCATGTTGAATATAATAAGGTTCAGTTCTGTTGTTCCACACGCTTCGTCTGATCTTGCAATCCGAACCGCTAGTTTCTGGCGGATCTGTCTAACACCGGTGCTGATGGCGTCAAGTTACCCGGTTAATAAGTCCGGATCCAGAATTTAACAAGTACACGAGTACTGAAATTACACAGAGCGATCTGTTTGTCCAAGTCGGTGTCAGTTGACAATCCACGAAACCAATGGTAGTGATATGGCAACTGGACTCCATGACTGATAGTGCCCTACGCAATAGGGACGTTACGTGGGAGAAGCACAGGGAGGAGGAACGTCACAGGGACCACTGGTTTACAGAGGTAATAGGGAGATGAGGGGTTCAACAACACTTGAGATGATTCACCTCTGGGTATGAGTGTTTCAGAAAAAGGGAAGATCTCCAGAGGGCGGGGGAGGATAGGGAAGTTGATTGGGAGGGAGGTGGGATGGAAGTACTAAAACGACAAGGATAGGCTGAAGGGTCTAGGTCTGTGCCAACGTACTTTGCAAGTAAGGGGAAGCAAGGTTGGGGGGTCAGACAAAAGGGGATTGAGAGAGATTCAAGGAAGGAAAAAAAGAACAACAATGTGGGAGGAAAGCCGAGTCAATATCAATCAGCCACAACGCGGAAGTGGATGAAGGAAGGGTCCACATGGAACATGCGTAGAGGAACAGTTGTCTGGATCAGGAGGGACAAGGAGGGGTAGTTATCAGCAGAACTAAAAAAAAAAAAAAAGGGGATCTTCCTACCTGGAACACTGCAATGGGTGGTCGTTGGGTATAATGCAAGTAAGAATGAATCAGAAAAATCAGAAAAATATGGGGAATCCAGGCTGACACCGAAGAAATATACGGGTATTAATTATCAAACTGTGTCGCGAAAAGATGTGGCTGAAATTAGCCCAGCAAAAATGGTAGACAAGAACGATGGTAGATGAGAGGAAGAAAGAAGAGGGTTGAAAAATTATAACAAAGACGATGAGAATATGACGGAAGCTCTGTGTGTGTGTGTGTTTGTGTGAAGGAGCCTCCCTTCTGCTTCTCCTCAGGATTTTCTTTTAATTATTTTTTTTATTTTTATTTTTTCCTTCCTTTTCTCGTTTTGGTTGCGCCGTTGGTAAATGAAAAAAAAATAAAAATAAAAATAAAAATAAAAATAAAAAAAGGAACCAAGAAAAAAAAAAGTGGAGGGGAAGAAAAAGGCAAGGAGGGGAACCAAAAGTGGGTGTGGGTTTAAAAGAGGTCACGGTTCGTAAGACCGATAGAGATCAATAATTGACCTCTGGTCATTGAAAAGAAAGCAGAAACAGTGGTTCCCTCCAATGGCGACACTTTCAAGGTGGATTGGGAAGAGAATATTTAGGAAATTACCCGACAGAGCAAAGCAAGGTTCAGGATCAGAAGAACGTAGAAATTCAATAGATCGGCTAACCTTATGGGACGAACCGAGAGGGTGAGGGGTGAAATGAAAAGAATTCATAGAAACCCTCAATGATATGATCACAATGACAGATACCAGTCGGAACAAGAGGCGGTCAACTTCATTGGCCCCCAGTCAAGTGGATTGCAGTAGTCGGGATGTCCAGCAATTATAGCCACGAAGATGCAGCGATGGAGGGGCCTGTTGGATTGGGAAGCGCGCAGAGCGGCGGTTGGTGGGGAAAGGGCATCAAGAGAAATTAATGGTGATCAATCACAGAGGGGGCAAGAAGTGCGGGACTCCAGAACGAGAAAGGAGAGAAAGAAGGAGAATGAGAAACAGCAAGAGTGAAGGGTGAAAATCATCTTCCCCGGTGGTTTATTATTAGTGAAATTAGCTGGAACTGACTGAATGGCAGATTTGATGGTGGGATATAAATTCGTTGGCACTGGCGTCATCCTTTCTGTTTTGGTTATTTTAGTATTTGGGAATTCGCCATCATTGCCATTCTCCTACAACCCCAAGAACTGAGGAATGTTCGTCTGTGGCAGACATTATCTATTCACCAGTGCCATTTTCTTCTCCCTCCTTCCCTCTCTTTTTCTCTTCGACTAAACTAATATCAGGTCAAACATCCCACTCGGTCCCAATGGACTGATTGGTTTTAGTGTGTGGGGAATCTCAGAAAAGTCAGACATGCAAGGTCACCTTTTTTTCCAGCCTCAATTTCCCCAAATCTTTTTCCCCCTCGGCAATGTTTGTGATCTGTATAACCCTATCAGACGGATCACAATCATGCCCAATTCCACAGGAGCGATCAGATCACCGAGCTGTGGGAGAGAATGTCTTCGGGGAATGCGGTTGATTCGATGGTCCCTATTGGGAAGGACACCAGCATCTCCACTCTTTCACTAAATGCGCGCTGAAATCATAGGACCACAACTGACGTAGTGGTGGGCAATCCTATCAACTAAGCGTAACGTGTCGATCCCATGGTCAACTACTGCCCATCTGACTAATAACCCCCTTTTACATCATTTCCAACCCCAAGGAACCAAAGATGTTACAAGATTGGCGGTGCACGTGGGAAGTTACTTCTTTCTGGATGATGTCTATCGTTGGGCTCCATCTCCGAATGAGCGTTACGGAAGAGTGTAAGCAGACGGAGAAAGAAGAAAGGGGATGGGGAAAAAAAGAGAGCCATAGTTCATTCCGTCATCGCACAATACTGCCCTTTCTCGGAATCTTATTCAGATCACGATCATCACTTAGACAAAATAGCGCAGACCAGCCACCAGAAAAGTCGCGTCAACTCCCTTCTGCATGAGAGGTTCTGGGCCCTCAGGGGCCATCCAAATTTAGATTGGACAGGAAGGAATGTACCGTGCTCCTGGTAGAGTAAGAAAAAAAAAAAAAAAAAAAAAAGAGGATGAGGTAACCCTTCAGTCGCAATGTGTCATACTGCGGGGTGTCATGAGCTAAGACGATAAAGGAGAATCCGATAAGGATGGGTTATGACAGGATGCAGAAGATGATCCTGTTGTTGTGACCGGAATATCAGTCACAACCCCCAGCCTCTTCGCTCCGTGAATTCTGGTTTGGTGGAAGAAATATCTGTTTTAACCACTTGGGTTTCCGCTCGAGCCTTTATACAACATCCCAAGTCCGTGGGGACGATGAACGCATATCCATGAACCCGAGGAGGTCTATTGGGTCTAGTTCCCCAGCCTGCCTATCAGAGAAATGCGCTTGGAAAATGACATCAGTGTGGGGCCACGAGACCGCCAATCCGTGACGACCGCTGACGTTGGCGGGGCTCTGCCAAGATGTCTAAAGCTTGGGCCGCCTTCCAGACACTTCGGTGCCGTACAGGGGGTTACCGAGTCCTGTATCCTTCTCATGCTGTACTAAGTCATCCTCGACCGAACGCAAACACAGGTTGTTTGTCAACCGCCGGAGCTTTTCGGCCTCCTACCCCCCTCTCATAGGGGAAGAAGTGCAGTAGTTTTGGACACAGAGGAAAAGACGATGACCGAGCAATCCGATGGTTTTTCGCTCGGCCGTTTCTCGCTGAACTTGCCCGACTATCACCACCCGATCAGGAAATCTGTCTGGTCTTGGTAAGCTGGTAACAGCACACTTCTCGAACGAAAGGGTGGGTCGTCAACCACCAGGGGTAAAGGCCTTGGACGTATGTCTCGCTGGCCTGAAATTTAGGCCTCTAAGAGTTCCCAAGGGTTGAAACGGGACTAATAGTACCGACGATGACATTTCCGCTGGTATCGGATAGGCTTGTTTTCTGTTCCACTCAGGGTACCAGCGCCGTGTTCCGTGTGATCAATATGCAGCAGCACATCCTATGACATCAGCCTGCATGTTTCTTACCCTCTGGCTTCATACCCAAACCTCTTCGCAGTGGACCTCGCCAAGTCGATCTGGGCAGCGTTGTACTGTACCATCAACGTGAAATCTTGGAGACAGGACCGTCATGTGCCCTGACTACTAGTATTTTTATTGTTCCTCTTTTTCACACCCTTATCCTCTTTCTTGCACTTCGTCGTTTCTCGAACAGCTGATATACGAGAGTAAGCTGATTTCAGCGAACGTGATCACCGCACGTGACGCGAGAGTATTGATTTGACAGCCCTACAAGTTAAGGGATACGATACCCACTACAGTACAGAGCTGTTTCCCTCTCACTCTCCTACCAATAGTCCAATGTCCAGCGGGTTAAACATCCGCCATCCGCAAGCTTAGACGACGTTTAAACAGCCACATGCGCTATCTAATACGGAGATGAGACTTCTTGGTTTCTCGATAAGATAAGTGATACATATGTTGCTATGGATAACTTTTCCTTCACCCAAAATGTACACTACTTGAGAATATGCGATAGAATGATACACCAAATTTGGGATACATCTCTAACCCAAGCTGATTCATCGGGATTGAATGCCAGTTCTTATCATTTCATCTAAGCATTGACCTTAGCAAAATCCCAACAGATCTCAATATGTTGATAACTGTTTGGAGCCTCGGCATCTCAACGTGTATTACATAAGCCAGATCCCCATCTCATTTTCTTCCCCTTTGTCCAGCTGTCGACCAGTGCGGTATCAATTGCTTCACCCTATCGCTTTGGGGCATTTCAGCTGTTCCTGCTGCTAACTCAATCCCTATAATTCGGTCGTGTCGTATAACCCGCGGCACAATCTACCGCCAGCAGCAGTACATCCAGACCAAGCACTCAGCAGCTTCCATCCAAACACAACTCGAAAAACAAGAGCAGCACAACAAAGACCCAAAATGTCTTCCAAATCCGCCTCCCCCCGGGGCCCCAAAGGCCTCACAAAACTGTACCTCCTAGGCTACAACGCTGCCAGCTTAGCCCTCTGGGCGACCTGCACCCTCCGCGGCTTCTACCTCCTCGCAACCAACTCCCCCGAGGACATTCCCGCCATCTTCAACGACATCTACTGGCCTCTCCTGGCCACGACCCAAACACTGGCCGTCCTGGAGATCTTCCACAGCCTACTCGGCATCGTGCGCGCCCCCGTCACCACGACCGCGATGCAGGTCGCGAGCCGACTGCTTCTCATCTGGGGTGTGATGTTCCTGTTCCACGAACAAGGTGACGGCGCAGGCATCGTGGGGGCTCCCACGGAGACGGTGAAGGTGGGCGACTATGCCTTCCTGGGCTGTTTGAGCGCCTGGGGTATTACCGAGTGTATTCGGTATGGGTTCTTTGCCTTGCAGGTTCTGGGCGCGGGTGTGCCCGGGTGGCTGACTTGGCTGAGGTATGCATTGCCCTTTACTTTTATGGGTCTGGCTTCGGGGTGAACTTTGCTGACACGTGGAATTTAGATACAACACCTTCTATGTGCTCTACCCGCTTGGCATCACCAGTGAGTGCGTCATGGTTGTGAAGGCGCTGGAGCCGGCTGCCGAGTTTAACCCTCTGTACCGGTGGTTCTTGATCGTCGTTCTGGGTATCTATGTTCCTGGTAGGTTTCTGCTTTCGCTTCCCAGATATGTGTCCTGTGCTGATTACCCGTTAGGTTCTTACATCTTGTACACGCATATGATTGCCCAGAGAAAGAAGGTGCTCAAGAAGAGGGCGGAGTAGGGTCATGACTGCAGCTGTGAGATGTCGGTGTTGATATGGCGAAAGGGATGGGTTGGTCTAGATAAGCTTAATTCTGCTACAAGACGCATTGGTAATGATGTACTGCTGGCTACATACTCTATCATGTTTTCATTACGCGTAATAAGTAGGGCCTGAGCTAGGTGCATTATAACTCCATCATGATATCTCGCACGGCTTTCGCCGCAAATCGTTTCCGTTCGCTCTCCGGTAACTCATCACTCATGTCTATACGAATAAGCACCCATCAGAACTAGGGGAGGAAAAGGGGGCAGACATACCTTTAATAGCTTTCATCCGCAACATCAACGCCTCCATCGACTCAACCTTCATCTCATCATCCCCGTCAATCCCGCCTACATCGTCGCCTCCATTCTCAATCGCAAACCGCAACCCAACCATCTCCCGCTCCAGCTCGTTCACCTCCAGATCGAACCCATCCTCGAGCAAGTGCCTCTCCAGCTCATCCTCAACACCGTCCACACCATCCGACTCCCCAGCAGGCGTCGAAGCCCAATCATGCGTCTCTAGAATCTCCCTCACCCTTCGCATACCTTGATACTCTGTTTCACGTTAGCATATATCTAAACACCCCTGAACACTCAACCCCAACCCCAAAACAACCATTCATCCACCCAACCACCATCTGTCCAAACAAAAAAAAAGAAAAAGAAGAAAACATACCCCCAAACCGATCCCTCTCCTCACTCCCCACCTCCCTAGGATCCCAATTAACAACCTCGAACCCCACCAACCCCAGATCAAACAATTTATCCTCCCACCAGGGGACAGAAAAGACCTCTTCCTCCCCCAAGCCATCGACCTCATCCGCATCCCCAGCAGCAGCAGTAGCAGTAGCAGCAGCACCACCAGACTCCCTCCCCCTGCCAACCAAAACAACCAACCCAAGAACATCACCCAGTCCTCTCTCCTCATCCATCACCCCCTTAACAGAACCCACAGCTTCCAGGAACATCCGCAGACCCTTCCACTCCGGTCTTTCCTCCACATCTGCTTCTGCTTCTACTTCTGCTTCTGCAGACGGAGACGGAGCCACGAGATCCAAATTGCGCAAGCAGATAACCACGCCCCCGATGGCATCCCTAACGACCCTCGCTTCTGGGCCGGAGAACTCTTCCCGCCATGTTCTTGGTGTGAGGGGTTCTTGTTCTTGCTTTTGTCCTTCTTCTTCTTCTTCTTCTTCTTCTTTTCCTTGGGGGTTTAGCTCCGGTTGGTCATTTTGTGTAGTTGTAGTTGTAGTTGTATTTGCACTCTCAGACCCAGAAATAGAAAGTGGGATCTCATCAACCCAAATCGGCACCTCGGCTTTATAATACCTGTTCTCGAGTCGGAGCGGGGGGTGTGTCGTGTAGCCTGCGAATGTAGTCGTCGTCGGCCTCGCAGTGGGGTCAGTATCTGGGTGGTTCTGGTTTCTGGTCTCGGTCGTCGGGGGATCAATAACGGGGCAGCCGGTTAGGGAGTGCAGGAATGGGGGGATTGTGGTGTGGGAGTGTTGCGAGGGGGTGAGGATGAGGAGGCGGCGGGGGTTGGCGATGACGTCTTGTTTTGGTGGGGTTGGTTGGGGCATTGTTGTTCTTTCTTTTGGGGGTTCTTTGGGTTAGTTTGTGTGAGTGAGAGTGAGGTTGGGATTCAAGTGGTGTAGTAGTAAGTAGGTAGGTAGGTGGTGGTGGTGAGTGTAGGTGGTGAGTAGTGGTTGAGTTGGAGATGAGCGGGGAGGATTCTTGCGGCGCTGGAAGTTTGGCTTGGGTTCGATTTGGAGAGGAATGGGTGCATAATTCTTCCTCATTCCTTTTGGTTTTTTTTTTTTTTTTTTTTTTTTTTTTTTTTTTTTTTTTTTTTTTTTTTTTTTTTTTTTTTTTTTTTTTTTTTTTTTTTTTTTTTTT